GGCTAACGTACACAATGGCATAGATCTCATGGCCGCGTCCTTTTACTCATGCTTGCTTCCCCTTTTGGAACAGATACCCCATTACCCAGAACCAGAGCGGCGCTGACCCACTTAGCTGCTCGCTGTGTACAGAGAAGGAGGGTAATGAGGTGTGCTTGCATCCTCCAATGTGCTGAAGTAGGTCTGCAAACACACACCATGTAAACGCAGTGTGACCAACATATGGCGTCGCTCGATGCTTTATTATTTTTGTCATTTAAAGGATAATTCCAGTTTAACTTGGGTCGTATTTTGAACATTACTGGTCCCATTAAGATAAATAAAGGGGTGGCATCGCCTAAGTGGGCAAAGTGGTGGTAAATCAGAAGTATGTTGTATCTCTGTGACACTACACCGGGGATTGGACCCGACAGAACTCTGCTCCACACTTCCTGGCATTTAACAACCTAAATATTCTACGTGGACGTCAGACCATAGAGTCATGATCAAGTTTCCACCCCAGCAGTGCATCTAAGACGTCGTCGGTGTAACATGTGGTTCAGGAGCTCATGTCTTTGGTTTCTTTGATCGTGAACCATGTCCTTCATCAGTTACTCAACACTGCACTAAACTACCAGCTACTAAAGCTGTAACATACCCATATTAGTCATGTGACACAGTCCCAGTTTCCTCCATCTGTGTTCATTCAGTGGATGTTTTTATACTATAAGGCCAATTAAATGGCGATTACATGTTCCATTTGACTCAACGTGTTGGTGAATCATCAGCAGTAGACGACTCATACACTGTACACACACCTGGTGAATCGGGCCAGAGATCTCTGAATATGTTCTTGAGGAACACCCCATCTTCTCTCCTCCTGAAGCCCAGGGTGAGGAGGTACTGCTGGGGTTCAGCAGAGAGCCAGTCAGTGGTCTGGGGCAGGATGTGGCCTCCTCTGGAGTCTGAGCAGAAGGAAAGTGGAGTCCAGGTTAGGATGAACAGGACCAGAATCCGAATGTGTTTCAGCATTTTGATTTGGGCTTGAAGTGGCGCTGACTGTAGTGGGGCCACTACATTAACGTTTAATGTGAACGGTGAACTTTACGGCTCCCGGTGTGATGCTGACTCTTATTTATGAGCTGAGTCATGGCAGGCTGGCTTCTCTTCACTCAGGGGCATTTAAAGGTAAATACGTGGCAGACAGACCCCAGACCTCTCAGCTTTTGTTGGTGGACATGCTTCATGTAAAAAACAAACAAACAAAACTGTAAAGGGAGGAAAGGTGAGAAGAAAGTCTGATGGAGAACTGTTTCACATGGACGAAGTCACTGTAGTAGAACATATCCATCAGATAAACAGCTGCTTTATGGACTCACATGTGGAGAACATGGTCACCGTTCCTATTAAAGCCTGGATCAGTAAAACAACGTTCAGTGCCATGAATCATAAATAAAGCAAAAAACCCAAACAAAAACTAAAGAACTAAAGTGAAACAATTCTTAGATTATTTATTTTCAACACATTCAGCTCAAGTGTCCACAGGTGAACAAATACATTCATAATGCAGCCTCTACAGACTCTGTGTGTTTCACACCACTCGGCCCATAAACTCGTGGACGGTGCTTCACCGTGCTGAGGGATCTTCCAGTAACTTGGAGTCGTGCTGCATTTATTTCCTTGTTTAAATATGTTTAGATTTCTTCTCAGTCTCTACTTTCTGCCCAAACTCGTCTCCTGTCTGCTCGGTGTAAACACAAGTTCAACCAAATAGTCATTAAACTAGTTTAAACCAGATGTGTAGAATACAAACCTACTCACCTTTTTTATTAAATATCACAATTCATTTAACTGTTGGGAAGTTCAACATCTAACCAAAGCTGCCTGTGGTTTTGTGGTTCAGAGGGTTAAAACGATGTCATGTCAGGGAGTATCACTACAGTCTGTTTATTAGAAACAGGTAGAAGAAGATCAGCATATTTCTATATCTGTGTCCCTGATCACTGGATATCCACAGAATACAAAGACAAGACCTGAATGAATAAGATTTAGTGCATTGGAGGTGAACTATGCAGTCGGTGTAGTATAACTTGTACTTCAGTCAAACTTTGGTGCTTCCATCAAACACAATGCAGCAGCAGAAGAACTGCTTCCAGCCACTGATGTCCTTTCCTTTCTCTCTCCGCTGTGACTGCTGACTACATCAGCCAGTGTCATGGTTCTGATGATGGTGGAAGTGATAGTGTTGCGGGTTTGAGATTCTGCTCCAGCAGGGACACGGAGATTGAGTAGCCTCCAGAGGAGCTGGATAGCAGGAGAAATCCAATCTGTGATAAATGGGATTGCAGGAGGAAGTTCATGTTGAGGTCTAAGGGCCAGTGCAAATGAGTAAATGGAGGAAGAAGGAAGGGAAGGAGAGAGGTGAAAAATATCATCATGACCTATTAAAGAGAAATGTGAAAAGGAGGAAAAAATAAGTCGAGATGGATTGAAGATGTGCTGGGAAGGACAAAGGGGGGAGTAGGGGCAGGAAGGAGTCTGGGGGTTGTTCTGGGGATTTATGATCTCTGGTGGTGAGGCGGACACTTCTGCCAGCTCTTCTGCTATAATTTCATTACAATTCTCAGGGGAGAGTTTGAGATTCCCGAGGTGGAGATGCCATTTCTGAGGACTCCGCTGATGCATTCAACTGTTTCAGAGGGGAGTCCTGAGAATTTCATCACAAGTGGCCCGCTCTATCAGTCCAGGCGTCCTGGAATAAGAAAATAATGGAATACGCAGAGGCAGGGAGCTCCTCCACTCAGAGACACTCTCTCCATCTATGCTGTCTCGTAGTTGTGATCTACTGCCACAGTCGTCCTCCCACTTGTGTTCCTTTGGAGTCGTGTCTTAATGTATGTATGTGACCGTCCAGGACCTGTGTCATCTGAAGGTCACTGATCTCTTCCTTTATCTTAATTTTCACGCTTCCTGTTTGTCCTCTGTTCTGTTCTGTTCTGTTCTGTTCTGTTCTGTTCTGTTCTGTTCTGTTCTGTTCTGTTCCCATCATGCATGCAGTGATCCGAGCCAGACTGTCTCGTCTTTACAGTCCTCGTCATCTTCTTTCTTCACGTCTCTCCCTTTTGTATCCACTAATCATTTCCTTTGTCCGTTAAACATCATGTTCACCTTCTTAAATAATAAAAAGTAATGACAATAATCAAATAATAGTGTACAGGAGCTTTTCATGCTTTTAAAGTAAACTTCCTGTTGCAGCTGAGAAAGTAAAATGTCGTGACAATCAGGTCTTCTACCTCGTTAACGGGTTCATATTGTGTTTTTAATATGCTGGAAAATATAAAATAAGCAGTCAACCCTGTGAGCATCTCTGCCTGTAGCGGACCAATGACCGTTTCAGAACCACACATTCAGACCTCCAGAGTTACAGAACAAATCCTGTCGACTTGCAGGATGGAGCTTTCTGTATCATCCTTCTTCCTGTATGTATGTTTGAATTAACTGAATGTTAATTGCTTGAATAATAAAACCTGCCAGTGTGTAGCGTGGAGTAGTTTTACAGCAGAGCTGTAGGTGAGCTGTTGTGCTCGAGCTGCACAAAGAGGGGAGGAGTGGGTGGAGAAGGAGTGGAGGGCTTCATACATCTGCAACGGCTCAGAGTTACATCTGAACCATTCAGAGACTTTTATATGTCAGTGATTCAGGGATTTGAGTTTAAGGGGTTTGATGGCTGAGGAACTGGAAACATGAAGTTTAATCACAGGACAGCAGAAATAAGGAGCTGGAACACCTTCAACACCTCTGTGAAGGTCTGGAGCTGTCCTGCTCACAGTCGCATGGAGGTTCATCTCTACATGAGACTGTAATATTAATACAAAGCTACTGGTTGAAGGCTCTTTAAATAAAAAGTCTGAGTCTTTCCTCTGCCATAAGTCTTGTTTGTAAATCGGTTGTTCAGTGTCTGCTGTGTTAGGGAACAGTTCCCCTCTCAGACCTGATCAGCTGCTTGTGTTGAGCAGAGGGTGGACTGGAGGACAAGATGTGGTGATGCTGAGAACTCCCTCGTTGTCACGGTGAGGTTGTGATGCAACCATCAGCCCTCTGAGTGTTCAGGAAATCCCTGTTTATCCAGACAGCACTGAAGCATTTTCCTCCACCAAGCTGAGCGCAGAGAACCACGTAGTAAACAGACATCACACATTCAACACAAATAGGGTGGAGCGGATGAAAAGCTGGCGTTAATATTTAAAAGGTATAAACGATCAGTGAACACAACGGCCTGTGCAGGTTCTAAGGTCTGCCCCTGCTAGCTGTACTCTCCTGCACCGCCTCAACTCCACCACAAGCTGACAGCAGTTACAATATTGCACCAGAGACTGATGTTAGGACGGCATGCTATTGGAGACAGAAAGCATTCATGTAAACTAAAGATAGAACATTCAATACTCTGTCTTAATTATTAAAATGTTTATGAAGTGACGGACTATAAAACACATCCTACAGCAGCCAGCAGTTCACATGAACACCCATCGACGTGCTGCCCGTAGAAATCCTCATGAGAAGTAAACGCAGCACAAAACAAAGTTTATGTTCTTGTATATTCCAACACTGGACAGCACAATAATGTGTATATTTTAAAATAACTGCAGCTTCTTCTCCATCTTCTGGCACAGAGGTCACAGGAGGAGGTACCAGACTGCAGTAGTCCAGCTTTGTTCTGCACTGGACAGCTATTTGGCCAGGGCTCCCTTGTAAAAGAGATGTCAATCTCAGTGGGACTCACCTGGTTAAATAAAGGTTAAATTAAAAAAAAAAAAAATTCAGCACATGAGACACACTTCCTGTTCCCACTCCGTGGTGTTCTATATGTATTATATAAGCATCCAGAGTCAGTCTCTGCACACAGCATTTATTCAACAATTATCACCACTTTAAAAAAAAATAAAAATCCTCCAAAAGCTGATTATAGTTAAAGACTCTCACCTCGGCCTTTCTGCTCGTCTCCATCCCCCTAACCTCCCCTCTCCTCTCACTATCCTCCCTCTTTACTTCCTGCTGTCCTCTTCCTCGTCCTCTCTGACTACTTGTAGGTTGAGGTATCTGAGGGTTTTGTCAGCTCGAGGCCTCACTGCTTCCCTCTGAGCTGAACTTTCCTGGTTCCAGTCTGATCTCCTGACAGACTGACTGATGCACTGACTGGTTGACCTGCTGGCAAATCGAGTGTCTGTGAGTCTCAGCTGTCTGAGTCAACAGGACGGTGACTCACTGGTCATCTGTGTTGTCAGAAACGTTGATGACAACCTGAGTGACTGTTTGACTCAGTCAGCTTGGACGGCGTGTTGAGAGACGGTCCGATCCAGCGCTCGGCACTTCTCCGCTAAAGGCCTCATTTTGTGCCCATTTATAGTAAATTAACCAGTCAGACATCTCCAGAATGTTTTTCTGCTGACAGTCCTGCTGAGATGGTTGATTTTACTTTAGCTGTGTACGTGTTGGTTGTAGCCTTGTTCTAAATGGGCTGTTTCAGTGTCTGTAGCTGCTGCTGGCCACGCCCACTTCAGGAAGAAGACTCTGTGCACCTGTGATTCCCACCATTTTTTTTCTGTTTGATACTTTTACACCAAAGTGACAGCACAGCCGTTGTTGTTAACTCGTGTGTGTTGTGAGTTCATCAGCGAACACTGCGGTTGTGAAACCAGAGAACATGAAGATGCTTGCGTTCACTCTTGCGGCCAGCAGCAGAACATCTGGCGTGCTTTGCTTGTGGCTGAGACCTTTTAGAACCAGCACAAGCAGCTTTAGGAAGTCAATGGACCTGGCAGGACCGCAAGGCTTTTTCCGAATGTCTCACCTTACAAGCAGTGAGCAGTAAGAAGGTTATTAGAGCCAGATGAGTACTGGTTCCTCCACTGGAACGCTGCATCTACTGGTACAGCTGGGAGACTATTATTTTACACATCAGAGTTTATAAAGCAGAAAAAAAACACAATAAAATGGATTTTTTAGGACCTTTAAGCCCACAGGACCAAGGTTGGAACACTAGGACCAGACACAAAGTGCACCTTTTAGCAGGTGTTTGGTCAAGTGACTAGAATTAAAGGGATGACCAAACTCACTGATATTCACCGTACAGGATCATGGCAGTAAAAACACTGGACAGCCTTCCATGTAGCAGTCTTTGACATGTGGACCAGCCACCTAACAAACCGACGGTACCGTCCCCAGACCCAGGCTTGATGAACTGGATTCCTCCAGTTTGTACCTGAAACACACCTGTGAACAGGAGGTCGGTGAGGGCAGGATGCTGCTCCATGCAGGCCTCCTCTGCTCGGCTGATGTCCTTGGCTGTAGGTTCCCCAGAGTACGGCGTGTACATCACACAGATGTCCTCCTCCACGAGCTGAGCCTCATGTAGCATAGCCTGGGGCAGAAAGCAGAGGAGAGTGAAGCCCGAGTGTGTTCGTCTTCAGATCGCTGCAAAATGTGCTCATGAGGTGATGCGAATGCCTGCAGGTGAGGACACGAGGCTCGTCTCACATTCAAGTGCTCTGAAGAAGTACTCCAGAGTAACCCTGGTTACAGTGAGTGCATCATGAGTCGAGCCACAGTTACACATGGCAGCCCTGGCTGATCCGTACATGATCCAGGAGCTGATGATAACATGTCCATCATGAACACAGGATGTGCTGCAGGTATCTGCCACCAGCTGAGGCTGCAGATGTTCCAAACCAACAAGGTGGAAAGTGGGACACATGGCATCTGGTAGCAGCAGTGCAGTTGGGCAGGATTTTGATCTAGAAATAAGGCTGCACATTGCCAGAATATACTGGCATAGAACCACTGGGCTGGAGAAATGGGGAACCACGTCCAGAACAGACACTGAAGAATGCTCATTAACATGTTTGTTAACTTTTATTTGATGAGCTGTTGTCATATGCGGTTCCATATATAACGTCCACATGCATGATGCAGCATGCTTCAAATGGATCTTCAGTACGAGCGGTGCTTCTCAGACGGTGTTTAATCAGATTGTTAGATCCACTCAGTTTTGGCTTTTTTGTGTTTTCCTAATTTTCGACTTGTTGACTCGTCTAAATCTAAATTTCTGATTAACCAAGTGGGGATTTTAGTGATTAGGAACATCTTCAGTAGAATTACACTGCCTGTTTGTTCCAGTGTGTTGGGCTGATACAGACACGGTACCGGTACCGGTGTACAGGCGTGCTTCGTGTACCAGGCTGGAGATAAGCAGACCGTATCTTTTCCTCTACATCCGTCCCAGACATATCTCACCAGTGTGCAGAGTGAATCCAGAATGTGGATTGTAGTTTTGCATTTCATGTCTCTTCTCTCTAACAGCAAACTGAACCCCGTGTTAGCATGGCCGACCTCACAGCAGAAATAAACCCGTGTACAGCTGGACAGAGACAACAGGCGTGTTGTCTGAAGCTACTTCAGGTGGTGGATTTGTATTTCACTCACCTGCTTACACAGTAATAAGGCTTAAAGTTTAAAGGTGCGTCTGCTTTGAGTAACAGGTGGCTGCTGTCGTAGGACCATTCATGGCACTGAGACGTTTGCCTGCAGTCGGAGGGCAGCACCAAGGCAGCATCACACTGAGCTCTACAGACAGAGTCATTGGGGATCGGTGTTGTTTTCATTGTTGTTCTTCCTCCAAACAGCATTAAGATGAAATAATGTTTTCACTAATTCCATATTTACTTATTCTTACTGGATGTAACTGACTTCTCAGCCAGTACCGCTATGTGGCTTCTGTGCAGCGTTTGGCTTCTTTAACAGACTCTTACTGCCTTCTTGTTAACAGACACACTGCTTGCTTCATATTTACTTGAATTATTACCTGCAGAAAGAGACAAAGGTGCACCACAAAAGCAGGTCTGCTCAGGGTTTAGGTCGGCTGTACAGAGGACGAAGCAGATTTATCTCTATGTGGGTCTGACTGTCAACCAGGATTAATACACCAGCAGGCAGCTGTACGCACACGTGGGCCTCATGCTAACAAATGGAGCTGACTTTCAGACTTTCTTTGCATTTCAGATGGTCGCCCAACAAAACACACGCCAGCGTTTGGTTATCATGCCTGAAGCCCATATATAACAGCAGCATGGTGCTGTAAGCAGCAGTAGCTATCTATTAAACAGTGTAAATGCATACTTTACTGTTTAAATCAGTGCCTCCTGATGCTCCAGTCTGATCCTCTGGTCCTACTGAGCCCCACCATCTACTCTACTGAGGACTGCTCTGCCCAAGTTGAGACTCTTTTACGGCAAGAGTGCAAAACAACAACAAAAAAAACCCGTCAGGAAATGAAACTTCAGTCTGGCAGAGAAGAAATATGAAAGAAGTGGCCTGTTTTATTTTTTGCAGATGTTGAAAAAGATTCCTCGTCTGTGCAAAATGATGAAAAGGTGAAGAACAAAGCATCAGATGTGGTTGTCTCTCAAAGTGAAATGAAATCTGAGGCAGAGGCCAGAAACAAACACAAACCGATTTGTGGTGGTAATGGTGTCGATAGCGGCACAGATGAAGAGGCTTCTCTGGCATAAGCTTAATTAAAGTGAAAAGCCTTTAACAGAATGCATCCACACATACAAACATACAGCAGCTCCAAGTGGCTTGGGACTGCCATGGGGATGGAGGGTGAGAGAGAAGCACAAACCAGAGCTCTCTTGATGTGCTGTGTACCAAAACCTCTCCTTGCAGTTATCTCACATCAAGCGAATGCAAATGACGGAGCTTGGACGGCGAAAACACACACAGAGGATCCTTAAAACAGTGGAGAACACAAAGAGAGGGCATCATTCCAGGTGGAGGAGCCTCCTCTGTCCTCAGACAGAGAGGAAGAAAGGGAGGAACACCAGGAAGAAAAGAAAACCAGCAGTCTGAACTTGAGTTCTGTCATTGAGGATGTCCTTTCACGCTGCCGCCGCCGCCGCCGCCTTTATTTTTTCAAGGCAGGTGAACATCTGACTTGCTGCCAAAAAACTGCAGGTTTAGTTCTGCCAACAGGAAGTCACATCCAGAAGAAAAACCTCTATCCTGCAACTTCACCTGTCTCCTGCATTTTACCTGAATAACTGCGCCTATCCTTCCCAGAGCAACGGATCAGTCAGTGTAGAACGCTGGAAACAGGCGCTGAGGGTAAACATCCATAAAGCCACTCAGAAAACAGAATTAAACTCTTTGTAATTGGTTAAAGCTGCACATGTCAATGCAGTTATACAGACAATGGATTAAGTGGCTCTTGGTGATTTAAAAGGGCTGCTGTGTGGTGAAGAACGCACGCTTTCAGCATCCAAAACAAAAGCAAGTTCAAGCTTTAGTCACGCCGCAGAAAATGTATAATTTAGCAGCCAGCTAGATGTGAGTAATTAAATAGAAATGAACTAAAAGACATCCTGATGCATTGTTTTATGTGTACGTTTTAAATATCAAGATGAAGCAGGAATGTCTGACATGCAGCTAACGTGAATACCTGCAGTTTACAGTTAAGAGCAGTGAATCAATAGAGAATAAAAGGCTTCGAGTGGTTCAGTCTGAGAGCTGAAGTTGGACATTAAAGGAGCAGTGCATGTAAAAAAAACCCTCCAACAGTTTGCAAGTGAAGAATTTTGCAGGAAGAGTGTTTTAAAATCACAGTGGGCAGTACGAGTTGCTGAGGATGGACTCCCTTTGTCCATTATGTCTTTTGTGTCTTCTTGTTTTTAGATGTTTGGTTTTTTTTTTAGCTCTTTAGGCGTTGTTTCAAAGAGGAACAAGTGTTTGCTATTTCAAACTAACGGCTTCCAAGAAATGCATTTATTGTTCCACGTGTCGCCGTCGTCCGACATGCACAGGACACCTGTCACGCTAAAACCCACAGTTTTTATGTAATAATAGCCAGATGGGAGAACAGTTGGGCGAATCTTACGGACACCTTAAAATGCATCATCACACCACTGCAGAAGTCACACAGGAATCTGGCATTGGCATGACGCAGCCCTGCTATTGTCCCGTTTGTTAAAACCAGAGAATCTTACCAACCAAATGGTGTCTCTGCCGTTAATCGTTGGTGTTCTGGGGCTGTTTGAGCCTCATATCGTTTTTTACACCGTGACCCAGCGGTCACTGTGGTCAGCTGTTCCTTCTGCATCACGGTCGGAGCTGGAATAGTTAAATATTGAGATGTATGGAGTTTAGCACACACCGGCTTTCCAGTATTCATAAGAAAAAGCAGTTTGAGAAATGACGGTGATGGCCAAACCAACAAAACACTTTTAATTCTGGCCATTCATCACATCACGCTCCGTCTCATTAAGCGCTTCAATCAAACCAGACAACAACCAATTATGGATCCTCACTGCTGTGCTTCAAACATCATCCAGGCTCAGAGGAACGGAGACGGGATTCAGAGAACAGCTTTACCGGAGGAGAAGTTGAATCCGTCCTTTGTGTCTCATTTAATCTGTGTGATATTTGATCGTTGCATTCATCAGAGGACTCTGGTTTGCTCATCGTCAGGCTGAAAGACTCAGAGTCAGCCGAAGATGAAGAGCAACTTCTGGAAAGAAATCTGTCATCTCAGGAAAGGTGTTTAAAAGGATGATTAGCGCGACGCTGACCGTGTTCACGCCGGACTGGAAAAGCATTTGTTAACACTGGAAGTATAGCACAACCTGTTCCTGTCACACTATAAGTTAATGTTCATAAACTCATGTGGATAATTCTTTGTCTTGGAGAGTTTGTTCAGAAAAGCTGCTTCATGCTGTTGTGTATTTAGGAGGAAACAACCTCATTTAGACACAGAAACAGGAAGTCTAAATGGTTTTGTTCCCTCTGACAGACGACTACACTTAACGTCATGATGTTCATTTAGCAGAGTCCAGGAGCCAGCGTCTGATGTAAAGACATCCGGGGTGACGTATGGACTGTGCTCTTTACTCTTACTGATTTTTAAGGTTAAGTCTGTGGTCGGGACCAGACGCAGCAGCGACACACACACCTCCACCTTGCCCTTGTGGGCTCATTATAAACTCTTTAGCAGGCCTTATGCTGCAACCAGAGGCTGCTAACAGCCTGATGGATCGGCCAGCGAGGACCCCAGTCGGCAAGTCCTTTAACCAATAATCATTCATGCACTTGCACTTGTCTGCTGAGCGCCCATCTGTCCTACACACCTGCCAATAGAGTTTGAGCTGCGTGCTGATCCGGCGCTCGGTGCCTCCCGACAGACAATACAGCCAGTCAGCAGTCAGGACGCTCCTGATGACAGAGAGAGAGGAAAGCGTCTGTCAGAGAACCTCAATCACGCTGCTGAGCAGTTTGAGAAAAGGCAACAACACGTCCACATGTTCTCACACGTCCCTCTGAGCTGAACAGGAAATGAGAAACAACGTTTAAGTCATTTTAAAGTCAAGCTGCAGTTTAATCAGCGCTGTGAGGTTTGTCCTGTGGCCCGCTGACATCCTCTCAGTCTTCAGCATCAGGCACACAAGTGAAGGTAAAGCTTAAAGGATCACGTCCACGCCTCAAGATATCGCAGCTGAACGGTTAAAACAGTAATTACTCAGATTAAAACAGGATTTGACGTGTGAGGAAAAGGGAACAACTTATACTTTGCTTGCTATTTTCGTCTCAGGCATGTTTTAGCATCTTTGCATGATTAAAATAAGTGATTGTGATGGATTATATATAAAAAACAAAGAATACAAATCAGTGTCCTGTAGATCCAGTGTCCTCTGCAATGCTTCAGCACAATACGGATATTATTTGAATAATTACAGGAGCGTGTACGTGGAAGCAGTGATCACCACATAACGCTTGTTTTGCTGCTCTATATATAGCTGCATTTGTGATCAACTGTGGCACTTCTGCTGTGACTCTTTCCCCAAATCCCAGCTCCTGATGTGCTGCCTTTCATGTTAGTCAGCGTTTCGTGCTTCACAGTTACAAACTCATCGCCTTTTGGCAAAATGTGGCCCTCGTGATTCACACCCTCGTGACTCATGTGGTTCTTTTAATGTCTTTTTTCTTCCACCTGGGTGCACACTCAGATGTCCTGAGCCGATACCGAGGAGCTGATTCCACATATACACACATAGTACTCTGTAGTGTCCTGGTTTATATGGAAGTGGTGGGTTCTGCTCTGGACCCTTGTTTGCCAAACTTGTTTGCTTAACCCAGGGTCAGTGTTTGTACTTTATAATTTATGAGGTCAAAGAAGCTTCAATCTGCATCACGACTGTACAGCAGGGATGAACTAGACCTGAGGTGAGCACCAGAGTCCAGAGTTTGGGAGTAGATTCTGTGGACGCTTCGGTCTGTTTCCTCTGTTATGGTGTTTAACCTGACTCTGGTCTTATGCCGGCGCCACACAGAACCCATAATGTCACCTAACCAGTCAGATGTCTAACATCTATTTACACCTGCAGTGTACAGAGTTTGTGTCACCTGGATAATCTGGTTAGTTACTAAACAACTGAACAACCAAGACACCAAAGTAGAACATAAGAATGAAGACATTTTGACCCATTTGTGTGTGAAAGGGTTGCACACAAGTAAACGGCATCATCAGAAGATGGGTCTACTTCTGTGTTCTCTGTGGCACAGCGACGCCTCTTATGCGCTGCTGTAGCTCCTCTTATTGATTAACGTGGAAGCTAAGTGGTGCAGCAGCTGCTCGCCGAACAGCCGCATTCGTTACGGCGTAGCCACAGGGTCGGGATGCGGTAACTGGTTCCTTTGGACCTTGTTGCAGGTTAGTAAAATACCAGGATTTACTCGGCTTCAAGGCGAAGCAACCTCCTCTTCGTTTGGTCTAAATGACAGAAGGTACCAACGTCAGCGCCAAAAAGTCCAAATTAAACTCATCCAAAGGACAGTCAGATAAAAGCATGACTGATTCCTCTTTTACATTCAGTCTTACACCAGTTAGCCTTGTTCAGCCTTTTTCTAACTAATAATCAGATTTTAGTCGTATAAAAGCCTTTTTAATATAATAAAGTCTGTGTCATTTTGCACTGGTACACGAACCTTTTCACTGCTAGTAAATGTTGATCATGCACTAAAATACTTATTTTTAATTTAACACACACTTATAATGCTTCATGTGACTCTATGCACAGCTGCATTGCATTTGACAGTCTCACTCAAGCATCAGTTTTTGTTTTAAAAAAAAACAAACCTGTGTCCCACTGATGTGTCACTGAAAAGCACAGCATTGTTTGGAACTTGGAAATTCAGGTCAGCAGAGTTCACCGAGTTTCTTACTGAAAAAACAAAACTGGAGCAAGAAGCAGTCGGTGACAAACGCGTCTCTGATGTGACAATAGTGAGAAAGCGCCTCATCAGGCCAACCACAGCTCCTCTGCATTCACGTCAGAGCTGACTGAGATGAAACAGAGCGACACCCAGCTTCTCCTCGTCTTTGTGGGTTTTTTACTTTTTATTCTGAGGTAGATGTGTGTCAGCCTGGATTTTAGCCCGGGCTCCCTGCCAGGCTAAACACTTTAATGTCTGTGCTGTCACCGGATGCATGTATGTTCGACGTTAACGCAGGTGTGTTAGTATGTGTCTAGATTCGCATACGTGGACATGTATGACATGTGTGATGTGTGTGTTGGTGGGCGTACAGAGCGTGTGAGTGTGTGCTGTTGCATGTATGTGTGCGCCATGATGTGAGGAGGCAGCAGAGACGTGGATGTCCCCTGACACAGTGAGACATTAAAAGCAGCATTCTGTCAGTCTTTGTGAATGTAAAGCATGTCTCCACTGCAGGGAGCTTCCACAGGAGGGATTGCTGCGTCCACGTCTGTGTTGGATATTTCTTTGCACTTGTGTGTAATGGTGATGCAGACATAGGCTGTAATTTCTCCATACGCAACGTTCTCTATTATAATTTTGTGGGTACACGGACGACTCTAACAAAGCCTGTAAATGACACCAGCTCTCCAAGGTCAGCCGTCTTTTGTGGTGCTAAGAGCCCCTCCAGGCCCCATTTACTGGCTGAGTGTGTCTCCGTCATACGAGGCTGACAGCCACGTGTGATGTGGAGGTGGGATGGCTGACTGGTACCAGGACCGGGGGTGGAAGGAGACAGGAAAAACACAGTGACGAGGAGAGGGAGGAAGAGAGCGACACTTTATTCTGCTCCTACATGCTACATCAGAGGCTGCTGTGAAATATATTCCAGAAGCTCAGTAGTTTATCTATATGGAAGCTTGTTTTGTGTGTAGTTCAGGTGTACGTTTGAGCAAATTTGATTAGGAAGCATGTTTATTTCTCTCAGTAACCAGCGTTCATCAACTTTTTGCTGCGTTTTTGCCAAAAGTTCTCCAGGTTCAGCTTCGTCTCTGAATGCAAACTTCCACAGCAGCGTACGTGTTATAATTTCCCTGCAGCCTGTTCTTCCTCTGGTACATTACACTCTAGTTACACTCAGTCACATCAGTTCGACTCTCTGGCTGAGTTTGTATGCACCGGACCGCCTCCAGTTCATTCCGTGTTCTGTCTGAACACACGGCGTGTCGGTCCTTCTCCATAGGCGGCTCTCCACTGCAGGACATGCATGAGGTGGCACGAATGTGTGCAGGAGCAGCTCTGTAAGCTGCCCGGTCAGGCTTTCTGTTTCTTTTGCGATGTAGGATACGACAGCTTCGGCGGTGATGTCAGCTCGATGTGTGGCAGAAATGTACAGGATGGACCTCCAGTTCTTGGTGAGAAGTAGAACAATGGAGGGTTTGCTCTGTCAGCCTATATGGTGAAACTTACTTTTTGACCAATCAGCATTGAAACCCACACGGCAGTTTTCCAGGGCTGCTCAGAAGCACATATCCTGCAGTCGGTACTCGTTTCTTCCCTTAAAACTGCCCTGAAAAAAGTTGAACGGGGCAGTTTCTGTGAACCACAGCACCTGGTGGAGGCCACCTTAAACTGTCCCTGCAGTGGAGAACAGCCTCATGTCACTCAGTCCAGTTCCTGCAAAGTTTTGAGTTCTGTTTGAATTTACTGCACGTGCATTAAGGCTGGACGTGCCCAGAGTCCCACTACAGATGCAGTAGCTACTCCACGTACACTACCGTACACTGTACAGAGGTAAATATCTAGAATGCATTTAGCTCCTCTGACTGCCGCGTCCACACCAAAGGACAGCAGCCTCTTTTCAGACAACAACAACAACAACAGCTAATAAATAGTATTAGAAAAGTAAAACTTCCACATTAACTGTGGCTAGAATGGCTCAGTGAGCTCCGATGTCGGCGCTTAAGGCTTGTAATTTGAGAATTAAACCTCCATGCATGTTCACAAAGTTAGTAATTAGAACTGTCTAATGACAAATGCAATCTTCTACGAATTCTGATGGAGGACGGAGCGCTGTATCCATGTCTGTACTGTCAGTGGGTCAGTTAATGCACAAGAAGCCCTGCAGTAATACAAGATGTGTGTGTGTGTGTGTGTGTGTGTGTGTGTGTGTGTGTGTGGCAGCGAACCAAGACAGTGATTAATTAAATCCTCTGGGAGTTGTGTTCATTGCTGAGGAGAGAGGGAGTGCTACACATCCGGTTGATAGACACCTCCCATGGCGATAGATGATGTATTACAGCGCACTGGGCCTGTCCAAAGATTACCATCAGCTGATAGACTTTGCACCACTCACTGGACAATATACAGTCGAGTCCCCGGTGAGCCAGAGGACAATGACGGTATAATCATCCCATCTAGTGGGAAATGGGGACGTCTGTACACACTTCAGTGGGTGAACTCAAACTCACTGGATGTGAAGTCAATACTCAGTGGAGCCTCAGTCAGAGCGTTCAGCGTGGACAAACAGGAGCCCAGAACAGAATAATGAGAGATGAACTGAGTTGTAGTTTATGTAGTTTGCCCTCATGCTGATAGTGGCTAGTAATGGTAAATGACCTGCACTGAGATACCTCTTATCTACCTCAGCTACTTAACTCGTACTTGACCCACTCATTTGCTCTCACACACCAGTGGCTGTCCAGAGCGCTTGGCTGTCATCAGCAATAACTTCAGGTTCAGTGCCTTGCCTGAGGAAACCATAAAGGGGCCAGAATTGAACCAAAAAACTCAGTAATTAGCAGACAACCTGCTTTACAACCCGAGCTACAGCCACACACCACCAGCATCAGAAAGCACTAAAGCACCATGAACACTGGACCTGCTGGCAGTTTGTTCGCCTGTAACCCAACCGGACAACCAACCACACACGTGTAGCAGAACAAAGAAGAAATCCTGAACAT